GTGGCCTCCAGCGCCGCTTTGTAGTCCTGGAGCGGGACCTCGGTGCAGGCCGGCGCGGCCAGCTGTCCCCTCCGGATGAGCTGGCACAAGGCGTCCATCATGCCGGCCAGGCTCTCCTGGTCTGCAAGGGAAGGAGGGAGCTCTCACCATCGCATGGTCGGTGCCTGCGCCGTGCTGGAACCATCGGCCGTCCCTGGGCAAACACCCGCCTGAAGCCATACAGGGTCCTGGGGATGGCGGGGCATGATGTGGTCCCTGCTTGGGTGTGTGGGATGGGGCAAGAGCCCCTGGCATGGTGGCAACCCACCGTCCCTGCCTGAGCCACACCGCCCAGCTCCCGTGTTTCAGCCACCCTGAGCACTACCAGCACTCATGACACAAGTAAGAACGAAGAGGATGGCATTGGCATGGTGGTTTGACACTCATTCCCATGCCAACCTGCCACACCGGTGCCAACCCTCAGCACCCATCCGGCTCACCCTGCGCGTGGTCCTTCCTCCACTGGGTCATCCAGAAGCCACGGAGCCGCACGTCCCGGAAGATGAAGGCGCTCTGTGGAGAGAGGGTGAGACCTGTGTGTCCCCTCCCCGTGTGACAGCGGTGGAAGGTGACAATGAGGCTCCTCGCTCCTTCGTTAGCGCTCTCATGAGTGAGTCAGGGCACAGCGGGATGCGGAGATGTGACTCCGAGGCGTGGAGTCAGGGAGGATTGGATGCTCGGCATCTGCAGGGCCATTTCCCTACTGGGATTTCACGGCAGCCCAAATCCTCCATAAATAAAGCCAAGAGACCCACACCGGGATGCAAAGCAGCTTGTCCCATAACGGACCCCAGCAATTAAATAAAAAGAAGGTTGAAGGCTCTCAATTTGCAGGGAGGGGAGAGCCGAGCTCCCGCGGTGCCGAGTGGGAGCCGAAGGGACGGGGACATCCGCAGCGGGGCACAGGGGATGTGCCCTGAGGGAAATCAAGAGCATCTCCAGTACTCACCACAGGCACCATCACAGGCTGCTTTGCCATCCCCCCGTAGGTGACCATGGTCCCTTTGGGCCTGGAAGAGGAAGGAGGTATTTGGTTACGCGGTCCCCAACGTGCAGCTTTGACCTCGCAACCTCTCCCTCCGCCGTACCCAACCCCACCGCTGCAGGACGGGGCGGCTCTCGCATCAAGGGCTCCCGCAGTTACCCCGCAGAACCCACTTGCCAGAGCTCCCCTCTCACTCCCATGCACCGTTAGCTGAATTTGCAGCTAAATACACCAGTTTCATCTGGCCAGGACCTGGTGGACCTTCATAACTGGACCTCAGCTGCCTCCAGCCACCGGCAGCGTTTGAGACACGCAGTGATGATGGGTTAACTTTAAGGCACTGCTATTTTCCAAACTCACCTCTTCTCCACTCATCTCCCCTCTCCAAAACTCAATGATGACCAACATCAGCTAACAACATCTCTGGCCACCTCTTGGACACCAGGGGCTCTGGAGCAGGACCCTCCGGTGTCGGCTGCTGTCCCCGAGCCCGTGCCCAAGCCACCACCCAGCCAAACTCACTGCAGATGCCGCAGCATCTCCGTAGTGCTTTTGCCTCCGACGCAGTTCAGGGCAAGCCGGGGCTTCGGGATGCTCTGCAAGAGTTTATTAAGAAGGTTCCTAAATTTTAGGGCTCCTTTTGAGGATGGGACCGTGGTTCTCGAGGGAGCAACTGCCTCAACTTCAGTATTTACCCCGGAGCAGCTAAGAGTTGTAGAAGTAAAATTATGAACTGGCCCTTGTGGTAGCAGCAAAAGCCCTCAACTTCTGGGGCTAAATCCTGATCTAGAGAGAGATTTGTCCTTCCCACCATCCCTGTACCTTTCCCCACAGCACTGAACCGCAGGGACAGCCCCGGACAGTCTCTCCAGTGGGATCAGCATTGAAGTACCTTAAAGATATCTTTCATCTCTGGCTTCCTCAGCATCTCCTCCGTGATGACGTGGTCTGCACCCAGGGCCATCAGCCTCTCCACCAGCTTTGGGAGATCAGGTCTGGGGGAGGGAAAAAACCCAAAGGACTCGATGAGCCAGAAAGCAAAGCGTCACCTTCTCCTCCCTCCTGCTCAGACGTAGCTTGGGGACAACAGGGCAGAGGCTGGAGGACACCTTGGAGGAGCAAACAGGAGAAAATCCTGGCTTGGATGAGCAGGGGGACCAGATCCAGTTCCCAAACTTGCCTGACCTCCTGCTGACCCCCAGCCCAGGCCGAGGGCACCTCCTGCCCCGCAGGAGACCTTCTCCTCTCCCAAGGGACCCACCTGTCCCTCACCACGTTGATGGTCTTGACGCCGAAGGCTTTGGCAATCTGGATAACAGCCTGGCCCACCCCGCTGTTGGCGGCATTCTGGATGACGGAGTCACCTGGATAAAAACAAATCCAGATTTCCATTGCAGAAGCAACTCGCAAATCCGCCCGGATTTCTTTCCACCCCACAAAGCCGTACCCGGTGCCAGGGTCTCGAAGTCGGTCAGCATGCGGTACGCCGTGCATGGGTTGACGCTCAAGGTAGCGGCGCACAGCACCGGGATGTCGCTGGGCACCTTCAGCAGCATCTCCTCGGGGAACACTCCCTGCGTCCGCCACGTCCCTGGGGTACCGGCAGCATCGCGGGCAGAGCGACAGAGAGGTGGGCGAGGAAAGGAAAATGTTCTGAGACCTCAACTCACGCCAGAGCCTTAATGCCGGTCGCAGCAGCATCGCCACGCCGTGCACCATCTAAATCCTGGAGAGTGAATTATGAAACATTTTCCCGTATGGGTATCAGAGGCAGGGGATGGATCCCCTGTTGCTTGCTGAGATTTATCACCCAGCAAAGTCTAATCATTTCCCAGAGGGATAATGGGACTGGGGCTCCCTGGGTGCAGGGAGTGTGCAGAGATAATGGAAATACTCCCCACCCTATGGATGAGCCCATACATTCAAAGCCAATTTAGTTAGATTTACTCCCTCTATACTTATATCTAATTTACCCCCCTATCATCCATTTACTTTTTTTTAATGTTTAAAAATATCACATTTGGATCTTAACTAGATAGCTTTCCTTCTCCCATTAAGCAAAAAAGCCTTTTAAGAAGAAACAGGCAAAGAACAAGCTGTTACTCTATGCCAGAACCAACAATTTTTCTGGCCATTGGCATTTTGGAGGAGCGCGAGAGACGTTTGTTGGAAAATAAAGTCCCATGCTTTCCCATCAGAGCACTATTAAGGAGAAAACTGTAATGAGACGTAACCACGACCTTGTGCCGGTTAAATGCTTTATCCTGGGTCTTTAAAGAAACCCTAAGGAGATGTGACAAAACGTGGATCTTTCCAGAGAAGCACAGATTGCCGCGATGCTTTGTAACGGCGCAGAAGACCCATAAAGGATCTATGCTATACAAAAGTATATTATTTCGAAATTTGAGTTTAGCACAAGTAACTGCACTGCTACTGCTCCTACTGCAAGCGCTCCCGGTTTTTGCATCAGATGTGTCCTGTGCACAGGAGCCCCTTCCCCAGGGACCCTCATCCTTCCCCGGGGACCCTCCGCATCCGCAGAGGATGAGCAGCATCCCTGACTGTGGTTGGGAATCAGGCATTGAGCTTGCTTTAAAAAAACCCCATACATTAAAAATAAAAATACATGGCGGAAATAATAAAACTTAAACCAAGATATAAACAGGTAAGAAATGAAGATGCCTTTGTGCAGCATTGTCGGAGACAAACCAGCCCATTATATTTATGATTATATTTATGATATAATTATATTATATTTATGATA